GCTGGATAATAATTCCCCATTGGATAAACGGACAATCCTATGGTTTTTCAAAAATATCACTTATATCCACTCATGGATATCAGTATCGTCACTCATTCGCTGCGCTCACTTGCGAAGATATCAATATCCACTCATGAATATAAGTGATATTTTTTCAAAGCCATAGGATATATAATATCCTTTTTAAAACAAATGTTATCTAAGAATATAAATTGTAGAAAAAAGTGTCCATCCGTTCATTTGTAATTGTCTGTTCGGCTAATCAGATGATCGGATCTAGTACAGAAGCCAATAATTTTTTTCAGCGGTTTGCCCCTCTTGATTTTATCACAACCGCCCCCGTAGATTATAAGCAAGTAGGACATCTTCACTGGAACCAGACAATATTCTTGTCTGACACACGAGAGAAATCATGATATCAATAATGTTTCAAATGCAGGGTTCCCTTCGTGCTTTTGCAAATGTTGAAAATTGTATGATATTGTAACCCCGGGAGTGCAACATTGCCCAGAGAAACTCGATCCCTAAAATAATCGGACCTCTATTCCATTCGTACTCTATTCACAGAATCGATGGTACAGTTAGTAGTAACACTACGTTATTTTTGAAGGATAAATGTCAAACATTGCATTTTTTGCAAGACCTCATCGTGGACCTCATTAACTTTCAATAAATATTTCATTTTCCCCCTTGGAGCCCCTAGGTCTGAGATCAATCATTATGCATCTTCTAAATTACCGCGCGCTAGTGACAATTTAAATGATTGTATTTTAATTTTCACTTTGCAAATATTACATACATTCCTTACTTTACAAATGAGAATGGAATTTGATGTCTAGTTTCTTGATACCAGGTTGATCGATCCTATAGTCACATATAAAAACCTATTTCTCATTTATCAATCAACCAAAATATTGCTGGCGTGTACGTATAATTACAAATTAGCTCGATTACCATTTCTTTCATATCAAATTGAGCTTCATGCCAAAACTAATTAGGTACATTCCCAAGTGGAAATTCACCAATCAGAAAACGTACTTATTTGAAGTAAGACATGCATGATGGGATTGAAAAGGGTGCCGTTTGTTGATTACACTACTCACCTAAAGTGAAATTCCCGGGGAAAGCTTCCCGGGGACAGATTAATGTTCCCTCTATTGACCAAACTAGGTACTAGTACTTCACTCCACCTTTTGAAAATAACTAACTCATATATTATTATATGTCTCTGCTTATCTTTAC